ATTTAAATATTTCATTAAAGCTTGAATTTGAGCAGGAAGAGAAATTATTTCAGGAACATAAGAAGAGAATTGAATGAACCTTGATTGGTACTCGTGATTTTATCCCACCCATGAGTATGCATAGGCTCTCAGGTGAAGATGTGACAAAAGTAGTGAGAAAACCCCTTAATCTTTTGATTCTTAATGTTGTGAAAAATGAGATCATGTTCACGTGCCCATTAAACACTTTTACTTATCTAATATTCTTCTTTGATCATGGAACAAAAGACGAAGGCACTACTAAAAATTTCAAGAACAATAGACACTGCCCAAAGCTACTCCATGAGAGCCCCACTTTGTAAGAAGAGACCGTAGAAGAGCTGTCTTTAGGAAAAGGTTGTTTATGAAATCATCTATCCGCCTTGACTCCTCAAGCATGTTCTTTCCTATCTTTCATCTCTCTTATTTTATACTTATGTTCTTTCATTGAGGACAATGTGTGTTTTAAGTGTGAGGAAGGAAACCATTTACTTTGTTTTATTTCATTCAGTTTCTTTGTTTTTTCCTTATTTTCTTACATAAGAAATAAAATAAAAAATGCATGTTTTTTCCTGTAGCTTTTGAGTTACAATTGTGAGTATTTTCTCCGTTCTATTGATTAAAGACTTGTGGTGTGATGTGATTAATTCTTTTTGTGCATTCTTAGTATGATATGTAGGACTGAACTCTAAATTGTACATCATTTGTGGTAGATCATTTACCTTGTGAGATTTTGAGCCTAATAATGGATAACATTCAAAAATCCATCTTTTCTTTCTTGTTTGTTTCATTCATGCCTGCTAGTCTCTAGAACTTGAATTGACTCTTGTTGAAGATTTTTGTTTATTTGTGCATACTGATATGACAAAGGCAACTTGTTTTAGTTTTACTTTTAGCCACTTAGCCAAAAAGGCAACTCTGAATAACATCATCCCTTGTTGAAAACCCCATTGAGCCTATTATCCCATTCTTTGTTTAAACTCATTACAAGCCTGAAAGTGAAAAAAATGTTATCACCCATTCATAGGGTCAAAAGAGTCTTGTTTGAAGCTGTGTGGGGTTGAATGACTATAGTTGTGATTAATTCCATTCAAAAGTTGGCAGAAAAGAAAAAAATAAAAAGAAAAAAAAAGATAAGAAATTGAAAAAAAAAAAAAATGGAAAATAAGAAGGATAACAATACATATTCCTTTTGAAAAAAAAAGAAAAAAAAAAGAAAAGAAAAGATAAATAGCTGCAAGGTTGTTGTGTGAAAATGAATGAAGTTTTTTATAGTTTAACTCCCGCAGTTTCTTTCAATTTTCTTTTGACCCTTTGAATTTAGCCTAATATCCCTTAGGATATACTCACCCTTACCTTGGCCAAGTTGCAATCCAAATAAAATTCTTTTTGATCTTTGTGTGCATGTATTTCCGTTGTGGATGTTAGAGTCTTTTCAAGCTTATGGTAGTACTAATTTTCATGATGTGCTTTGAGTGTAAACAATACCCTAAACACCCGAGAGTTAAGTGAATTTTATCTTGTGAGGATCTTGCTATTTTTAATTTACTATTTGGTAATCAGTTTTTCGTATTTGCTTTGAATGTCACAAAAAAGTTACTTACTAATGCCACTTTCTTGAATCTTATACTTAGAATTTTTCTTGCACTTTGTATCCTTAGAACTTTTGGATTTGCATGCTCTGTTTTGAATTTATAATTTTGCTCGGAGTGCAAAAGTTCAAGTGTGGGAGAATTTGATGCATCTTGATGCACTTTTTTCTACTACTGTACTTAGGAAACTCTATAGTTTTTTTTTTTTTTACTATTTTAATGTGTTTTTATATTTAAATTTATTTATTGCTTTATTTTATTTTCGTACTTTATTTTTTAGCTTTAATTGTTATTTGATACTTGTTCACTGTGCAGACCATTACTTAAGCTACGAGAATCAGATTGACCCGTTCTAATGGGAGTTGGAAAGCTAATAGGAAGAGCTACAATTTCCATGTTGAAGTTAAAAGCTGATTAAGAGTGAATCAAGATCTAATAATTAGTTGAATCTCCAGACTTAATTAAAATAGTTAGTTTGGGCTTGTTTTTGTAATTTTCGGTTAGGTTTCCATAAGGGCCCAAATTTTCCTTTTGTTATCTTAGGATTTTCACTACTATAGTAACACTACTATGGATTTACAAAAATTTAAGGCTAAGATATGAATTTCACGGAGAACAAAAGTTCGCACAGTTGATCTGTTGTAATTGGTTTATACTTTCATTCAAATTTCCCTCCCCTTTCAATATTCAAGTACTGTTTTGTATGCTTTATTCAAGTTCTATAGAATATGTGTTAATTAATTTCGATTGATTTATATTCACTAGTTTTCATCGCGTGTTACCATAGCTTTTATGTTAATTCGTGCAATCTTTATTTCATTTTCTTAATTTGAAAAATAGGAGTGTAAATCGCATAATGTCGATTACGCTTGTTCATTGATGCTGTATTCGAAAAGGGATTAGAATCCGCTTAGGGAATGAAGATTATATTAATTAATGATAAGTTAGAAAACCGAAACAGTAGATCAACTTATTTCATAATCACTTTTTATAATCACTTATTCTTAATCGTATCTAAAACCCTTATTCCATTTTCTTATTTGGTTAATTTTGCCAAGAGTCCTTGCAATACGACTCGAGATGTCACTTCTCGTTTACTACATTTTTCTAACTCATTTTTGACCCGTGCGCGACAACAGATCAGCAACCTTTGGTATTGCAAGGCACAAAACTACTGTTGGTACTCCCCAACAAAATGATTTGGCTGAAAGGTTTAATCGAACCATTTTGGAAAGAGTCAGATGCATGCTGACTAGTGCTAGGTTAAAGAAGGTGTGTTGGGCAGAGGCTATTTCGATAGCAACATATATGATAACCAGACGTCCTTTGACTGTGTTAGATATGAAGACACCTGAAGAAATTTGGTCAAGACATCCATTATATCTTGATAAACTTAGATTATTTGGCTGCATAGCCTATGCTCATATTAGGCAAGACAAGATCAAACCTAGAGCTTTGAGATGCATGTTCATAGGATATCTTGAATGAGTCAAAGCTTATAGGCTATGGTTCCTTGAGCCAGGTCACAGGAGGTTTATCACCAGTTGAGATGTAGTTTTCAATATAGTTGAGATGACTTTCAAGAAAACTGATGACATTAATCTAAGTGTACAGATATCTGAAGAAGAGCTGGAACAAGAAGATATTCCTATTGAGGTGGAGAATGTCGACGCTAAATTGTATATTCCAGATCAAGTCGGAGGAGAAACACAAGATAATGAAGATACTGAGGAAGTTGAGGAAACTGTCGATGACTACCTGTTGGCAAGAGATAGGCCGAGAAGAGCCATCAAGCCACCTCAAAGACTTGGGTATGAAAATTTCACAACTTATGCCTTAATCTTTACAAGTGAGGTTCTAGATGAAGAGCCTAGAGCCTATAAGGAAGTTATCAGGATTCGAAATAAGAGTGAATGGCTGAAGGACATGGATGATGAAATGAAGTCTCTTCATGATAACCACACTTGGGAACTGATCAAGAAACTTGTTGGAGCTAGGTTAGTCAGTTGTAAGTGGATTTTAAAAGTTAAGGAAGGAATCAAAGGAGTGATGTCGAAGAGATATAAGGCAAGAATAGTCGTAAGGGGATTTCACTCAGAAAGAAGGTGTCGACTTTAATGATTTATTCTCTCCTACTGTGAAACTCAGGTCAGTTCGATTGTTTCTTGCCATGGTGGCACAATTTGACCTAGAACTGAAACAAATGGATGTGAAGACTGCTTTCTTGTATGGAGATCTAGATGAAACAATCTTGATGAGGCATCCTAAAGGGTATGCAGAAAAGAGAAAGGAAGATTATGTGTGGAAGTTGAATAGATCTTTATATGGACTGAAACAATCTCCTCGGTAGTGGGATAAGAGATTCGACAAGTTTATGGCACACATAGGTTTCATTAGAAGTCAGTTCGGCCACTGTGTTTACTTCAGATTTTGACCTGGAAATTCATTTGTTATTTTGTTATTTTATGTGGATGATATTCTCATAGCAAGCAACAATGTCGAGGATGTAATGAAGGTGAAGGATGAATTCCATAAGGAGTTCGATATGAAGGATCTGGGAGCTACATCTAGGATTCTTGGGATTGACATCCGAAGAGAGAGAAAACAGTTAAATTATGTTTAACTGTTTAATGTGTTATAAAATAAATTTTAAAAATAAATATTTAAAAAAAAATTAATATTTTAAAAAAATATATTATTTTAATAAAAAAACACTGTTCACCATATAAATACGGTGACCAGTGCGTACGGTGTAAATATTGGGTGTAGAAAATGGTGTAAGAATAACATTTTTCTTTATTAAATATAGTTTTTTTTTTCTAAGCAAAGAAATATATTAAAATTAAGCATTAGGGGGTGCTTAATCCAATACAAAAGAAGAAACATCGATACTAAACTCAGCCAAAACACAACCAACAAACTAAGAAAAGATGATTTGCGGACAAGAAAACCAAGTATCCCTATCAGACAACAAAGACCCTTTGGATCTAACACCTTACCAATTCCAAGATAACAGCTTAAAAAGAAGCACAATATTTGCCACTCCTTTAATCCTACCCTTGAAAAGAATATCATAATTTTGTAAAGGAAAAACATGTTTTCTTTAAATTGAAAATAGATACCATAATTTTGTTGAAATTCTAAAATGTAATATTTATTAAAATCACAGTAGTTCACTATAATTTCATCAAACGTAAATCCAAACATACAAAAACAACAAATCTTGAATTCACCAATGCTCCATGATTACATAAGACGTTTACTATCAAAAAGGAATAACCAATAAGCCATTTTCCTATGTTTAATGTTTGATATCAAAAAGTAATAAGAATGAAAAACTAACACCACAATCTGATTCCTCAACTTAATTTCAACTTTTCTTAAACCTCCTCAGCCTAGTTTTGCAGATATTATCCCTTGAATGGATCCAATGAGAGTAAAAGCTCCCACCACAAAGCCAACAATGCTAAAAGTCCTAAGCCAAATCCACTTGTTTGTCCATGGTTCAATGTTGCCCTGACTAATATACATTTCCACCGGGAAATATATGGTTAATGGATAGTATATTATGCCAGCCAAAACTCCCAAAATCTGGTTGAAGTATGGAAACAGCATCGCAATTACGGTCGTCGTCGCAACATAAAAAGTTCGGAAACAAAGCCGTAGTGGACTTAGTTGAAAATTCGGTAGCAATGGGAGTTTTAAGTCGTACGTGCAATTCACAAATCCACTATCTGGAAATCTAAAACGTAGCCAATTCTCAACATTCGCGTAAAGTGGCTGGCTATACACCTGCACGCCAAAAACAAAAAAAACAAAAGTTTCAAGTAAATCACCGATTTTGTCTTTGGACTCACGGATGTCTCGAATGTCTAACGTTTTATCAATGATTCATTATATACTAGGAGTCTAATGACAAAACGTTAGAGACAACAAGCACATGTTCAGGTCTGATGTGAGACTCATAACAGACAACTTATTATGTTCATTTGTTTTAGGGGCGAAGACGGTGTACCTGGTATGCACCAACTAGGTGAATAACTATACAAGCATTGGCGAAATCTACGAGCCAATAAAGCTTATAAGTTGCAAAGCCAGTCAAAAGATTTCCTGGTGTGTCATTACCAAAAGCTGCATAACCAGCACAGCCGCAACAGAGGTAAAACATCGTTGTGATGATAACCGATATCGTTGAGGCCCTTCTCATAGTTACGTTTTCCGCTGGAGGTGATTTCAGAGTGTCCTTTAAAATGTGAAGATAAGTTATATTAGACTTTTAACGGTTTGTGAAGTTAAATTATTGATATCTAAGATTTCGTGTACCTGAATTTCTATAAGAATTACTGAGAATGGATACGAGAAGGCTACGTCACCAAGTGCTTGTGCAACCAGCCATACTTTTTCCATTCCGGTCGAAGTTGGCACACCTCTAATGTTACCCTCAAAATGTCCGTTTTCTGAGGACACGATTACCAGAGACTTATACACGTGATAAATAGTCTAAAACATCGCGTGAGTTACAATTCTATTCTACAAAATTTGAAATTGAAAATCCTGATCACATTAGTCCTTTTGTATCGGATAATTTTGATAGGAGATATTCAATATCAATACTTTTTTGAAATGTCGTTAATTTCGTGATTCGTTGTTCTAATATCATAATGAGATAGATATTGGTAAGAAAGTAAGAATACCTTTGACTTTATCAATGGCAAGTCCCATTCCAATGAAAGCATAACCAAAGGACATTATTGCTGCAACAATCGAGAGCCATTCGATGTTACGAAAATTCGGTATCTGTGACAGAACAACTTGGATAGCCCCAAAAACAAGCATGTTATATGTATCCTTCACATAACATGTTCCTTCATTCCCATTACTATGGTAACATGCTGATTCCTGGATTGATCTGCAATCGCAAACACACACATAAACAACGAAAACAATAGAACTATTATAAATTCTTCAGTGACATTAGTCTTAGTGAGATTTTGTGAACAAATTCATAACTTGTGTGAGAAGTTAAAGAACAGAACAGACCTTATGCTGATGGATGCTGTAATTATGTAGGCGATTCCGAAACCATATAAGCATATATTTACAAAAACACTGCAGAGACGCCCATTTCCTGCTCCTGTAACCACAAATAAGGTTCATCTGTTAATGATCTAAAACCATAGATGCAGGACTTTTAAAATAAAACCTCCTAATCGAAATGAAGTTAAAATAACTGAACAATTATATTTGGTTAGTGAGCCGAATTTGTGTTGCACAAATAGATCTAAAACCGAATCAAATGACAAATAAACCGAAACAAAACTGAAACCGAACCAATACATAAAATGAAAAAAAAGAAGTTAAAATCAAGTTTAAATATTTTAGGCAAAACTATTGTTTTAGTCCTTTAAGTTATTTTAAAATATCAAATTAGTCCCTTAAATTTTTTTTGTAACGCTTTGGTCCTTTTAAAAAATCCCTGTGACAATAAATTGCAACTGATATACCATTTGAATTGGTTTTTTGCGCTAATCACGAATATGCAATCAAATTTATCAAACAAGTTATGGTTCATGAGATTCAGGTAAAAATGAACGAAATACATAATGAAAAATCATCGATCCAACCAAAATACACAATCAAACGCAAAACTAATTACATATTCGTGATCGGCGCGAAAAACCAGTTCAAATGGTATATGAGTTTGTAATTTATTGTAACAAAAACTTTTAAAAAATGATCAAAGCGCTACAAAAGAAATTTAAGGAGCTAACTTGATATTTTAAAATAACCTAAAGGACCTAGACAGTAGTTTGGCAACATTTTATCAAAAAAAAATTGAAAAAAAGTATAACAGTTTTTCTAAAGATATGGTACCTTTCACAATTCCAAACGGGTATATCAAACCACATAAATCGTTCCATCAAATTATAAAAATTATAGGGTCTAAAAATTTGTAAAAGTTAAAACAATTCAAAAAGCAAGAGTGAAATAGCATAAAACAACAAATTCACATGTAAACATAATAGTTGTCCCTGTCAACAACTCCAAAAGCTTGAGTTTACAACTTGACATCACTATGCATCAAAATATATAAACAATTTAATTAAATATCTAAAAATATTGATTAAAATTTTACATTTTAAAATTCATAGAATCATAAACTAGTAATAAAATCAATGAAATCAGTTGATCCCGTAAGGTTTATAAAAAAGAGAGTTTACTTCAAAATTAACACATTTTTGTAATCTTAAATTAAAAACTACTAAGAATTTAATAGTTATCTCTATAATTTGACAAAATATTGAACTATCATAAATTCTTAAGAAAATGTGTTTTTAAATTTCCAGATAATATCATTCTATTCCTTTATATCTATCATTGATTTCATCGCCATCACCAATATCATTCTATTTCACTGTTTTTTATTTTTGTTTTTTATTTCCAGTTTTTTTTAGTTCATGTAAAAAAAAAACTAACTTATAAGATTATAAAACTGAGTCCTAAATTAATATTCCTGTATAGATCTATTAAAAAATGAATGTAATTTTTAATTAAGCTTCAATGAAGTTTAAAAACTTATATCATAAAAAATTGTAAGGAGAATGATTTACTAACAAACTCATGACACGTAATGAGTCAATGATTACACGTATATTAATTAAATCCAGTGATTATTAATTAATCAATTAAAGTTTGTTTGTTATGTGAAAATTATCGTGGTTTTGTATGGCGGAGAGAAAGGTGAGGGTGAAGAGTTAATAATCAAGATACACGTGCAAGCTTTAAGAATGTTATAGTTGCCGTGACACAACTAAAAACTTTATGTAACCTTTTAATTCGTCCAAATCAAGACCCACATTTTTCGCTTACTTTATCATCACCATCATCGCTTTAATTTTATTATTTTTAGCCTTCTAGAATGTGCCATAATAATCTCGACTTAAATTAAATGTAATAAGAAGATTATAATAAATGAAATTATTTGATCTTAGATTAATCGACTGGAGCGGATACCAAAAGAAAGAAGTAATACGAAAAGAAAGAAGTAAAAGAAATACTAACCCTTGTGCAAATTAACAGCGTCAAGGTAAGAAGAACTTCGATGAGGACCAGATTCAGGATCGGGAGAACGATAAGTATCACTGAGAAGAAAAGCAGAGAGAAGAGTAACAGAAGCGAACAAAAGAATTGCTAATGGTCCTGCAATCCATCCAATCTGTGCGATACTCCATGCCAACGACAACACTCCTGACCCTATCACTCCGGTCACTATGTGCGCCACTGCCGTCCACACTGTCCCTGTTCGAGATCGTCACCGTTATAATCATAAACCATAACATTAACATTATTGATTTTCAGAAATATGAATTTGTATATAAATTGCGAAGGAGAGAAGAAAAAATGAAATACAGACCTGTTCGTTTTACATGATATTGGGCCTCAAATTGGGATTGTAAGAATGGAGTAGTGCTGCAACCTGAAAGATATTCGTCACTCATGATGATTTTGGTTTTGTAAAAACTCAATTTATGGAGTGATTTGGATGTATATAGGTGAATCGGTTCTTGATTTTTCCTTTTACAGAGAAAAGGGATCAGATTTGGGTTTTGAAAGATATAATCGAATACGCTAAAGCCAGAAGCTTATTTTATGCTCACAAATGCTGTAATGGTTATATACATGTCATCTATGTCAAGTTTTTTTTTTTTTTTTGTGGATTTTTTTCCTGGACAATTTTTATTTTATTTTATGCAAGCATCCAATGATTTAAAGTACCATGCAATAATCGTGATATACAAATTATATTTGTTGATAGATTTTTAATATTTTGTAATTATTGAAAAAAATTATTTCAAGGAATTAACTAGTTAGATCTAGCATGATAGGTGGAGTTTTCACAATATGACAAATAAAATTTTAGTTTAAATATGTTTGTGATCTTATAAATATTGTCAATTTTATTTTAGTCCTTTAATTTTTATTTTTATTTTTAAAGAGTGGTCCATAAAATACTTTTTATTTACATATTTGATATGTTACATTATTAGCGTCACGGAGTATGACATGAGTAAATGTGAATTAAATTTTAAATTGTTGAAAGTTTATGGGATAAAAATAATGAAATATGTGGATGTAATAAATAGTTATCTTCTCCCATCATTTTATTCTAATTTAATTTTGTCTTCCTTCCTTTATCTTACACGTAGGAACGCATAAGGGTTTATCTTCCCAATTTTGCTTTGTTTCAGTATCGTTTTTGAAGACAAACTCAACCAATGAATGACCTTTTTCCTTATTGGTATCATAGTTTTGACCTGTTATGATAATATAGTGTTAGTAAAGTAATCAACATAAAATAACTTTTTGAATTTGGAATTAGATCAGTACTAAAATAACTTACAAAATCACTCATACTTAGCTTGTGAGTAGATGGCTTGACAAATTCTAGTTTCTTCAGTAGACTCAAAGGCTTACGCATTTTTTGTTTTGCACCAATGAATGTTCTGACACCAGTTGACATTGGTTTGACATAAGTAGGTTGTTTGAGAGGAGCAGATTGTTTGGCAGGACTTGTTTCAATATGAATTCTAAGATATTCCTCTTCAAAAACTTGCACAAGTTCTTACACATAATAACACAACATTTCAGTAAAGTAAAATGATAAATAACTACAATAACCATGTATCTTTATACATACATCTTCCTTATCACTAACGAAACACCACCACTATCACTAATGTCATCAAGAAGTAGCTTAATAAACCAGCTCTAAGAGTTCTTGGTTTCACTCTTTACAACCCCAAAAGCAATAGGAAAATATTAATCATCAACATCTCTCATAACAACTGTAATACCTCAAATTTTGCCGGAGATTATTAGGTTCATTTCGCACGTCATCTCATTCTGCATGGCATTTCAACTAACCGCTAACCAGTTTGTTCAGCCTGTTAGTTTTTGCAGGAAGATGGATCCTCTACTTATCTATTTAAGGTCATATTCACTGATTTTATTATCGGCTACGAATTAATTTGAAAAGGGATTTGTCTGGAACTTGGTTGCGTCAGGTTTAAATCGAGCAATGTGATTTGGTTGTTGAATCCGGAATTGGAATGGCAAAGTTTATTCGGATAATTTTCATGGGGCTTATTTGGACGAGTTTAGTTGGTGAATTTAATCCAATTGGTTAAGTTTAATCAGTTAAGGTTAATCGGTTAAATTTTAATTGTTCGAGTTCATTTGGAGGCACTTAGTCATTTGAATTTAGTCGGATGAGTTCATTCATTTGGGTTTAATCGAGGAAAGTATTCAGAGATTTTAATCGGTTGATTTTTAATCGGAGAAATTGGATTGAAAAATAAAGATTAGAATTTATTATTTGAATTCTAATTTTATTACAAAAATTACAATATTACAAAGGGGATTAAATTACATTTTTAATTCCTAAATTTCTCAATATTTCTTCTAAAAGTCGGTTTCGATTCCGATTCTTTGATTTCGACTTTTTCTTCGAACCTGCAAGTCAACAGTAAACAAGCTATTTTTTTATCGGTTAGGAAAGTGTTTGTTTGGTTCCGATATCCTCAGGAAAATCATCATCGAGTATGTCGGGAGAGCAACGACAAAGTCGAAGCCAGCTCCCGAATCAATTCCAACCCCGACACAAGACCGGTAGTTTCTGTTCAAGTTATCCAACCAAGAGAGAGAGAGAGAGAGAGAGAGAGAGAGAGAGAGAGAGAGAGAGAGAGAGAGAGAGAGAGAGAGAGAGAGAGAGAGAGAGAGAGAGAGAGAGAGAGAGATGTTTTGAAGTGATTGGCGAAAAAGTGATTTTGAAAAAGTGCTTTTGAAAAAAGAACTTTTTCTTCTGAAAAAAGCACTTTTTCTTCTGAAAAATGATTTTGCCAAACAGGGCCTTAACACATTTCCTAGAAATTTTTGAATCCAACGAATTAAACTCAGTCAAACAATCAGCCACGAAAAACGCAGCAATCACAACAGAATCCTGAAGCTCGTAACCACAAAATCATCACCAACGCAAAGAAATCGGAAACCCAACAACAAATCAGCGGGAGTGGTTCAAAAAAGCCACAAAATCTAGCACAAGGCCCATGCCCAGAAGAAGAAAAGTCATAATATAACATAACCATGAGAAATCATAAAAGGGGGGATCCATCACGAAGAGGCGGGAGAACAAAGAAGAAGTTCATCATTAAGAACAAACATCAACACCCATAGTTCTTCACAAGCCAACAAGACCACTGGGAGGCGGCGACGGAAACCCTAAGGTTTCAACGCCGGCCAAGCGCAACCGGCGAGCCAAAATCCTGACGGCCTCAACTTCATCATCATCGGTCGCCAGCTACGCATCAAACGAATCTAGCCACCGCAAAACAAACCATCGCAAACAGACCACATCATCATCAAACTCAACGGACGAGAACCCACAAAAGCCTCAGAAGATAGTTTCATCATCGGCCGCGAACAACAACAATACACCATCATCGCCTTCACCGAAGAACAGTCGCTAATACGAACATCAATATCATCATCAATGTTAGAACACAGATTGGTGTTTAATTATATCTCTATGTTTTGATGATAACTCTAATGGAATTTTGTATTAAGAAAATATATACTCTAATTTTGTTCAAGTATTTTGTGTTTCAGATATTAAAATAAATATCATTATGGAAGCAAAATGCATATGAACAGCAAGTTACGCAAAGCTCTGAAGCATCAGAAGCAAGCCATTAGAAGACTCTGAGCGCTGCCAGAAGACTCTGAAGCAGAAGCTGCAGAAGACTCTAAAGCAGAAGCTGCAGAAGCATCTGAAGCGTAGCTAAAGATTTTGTATGAAGAGTTTCAAACATTGTTTCAGAAGACTCTGAATGTACTTTACGCTGCAAGTACAGAGGCTCTGAAAACAGTTTTGCTCTGATCAGATCACTCACGCTAAAGCACTATTGCTGCAACTCTGATTTCATTTAATTTGATCTGAAGAACAAGAAGGACATCAGAGGATCTGATGTTGTTTGCATTTGAAAATATGTCAGCACGTGAATAGACTTGGTATTATTCTCAACGTCCTCTCCAACGAAACTATTCCTTATTTGTGATAGACACAAGGATTCAGGCAAAAGGCATTTCTCTGAACATTCTACTTGTGAGAAAGGAAAAGTCATGTGAAGACAAAAGGCTACAGCTACCCTACTTGCACAGTCTTCAAGCATTGGACTTTCAACAATATAAAAGGACGTCTTCAACATCTCTTCAAGGTTAACGAATTGATAATAAATCTTGAGCAAATTATTCAACAACTCTCATACACTCATTCTTATTCAAAGTTGAATAGTTTTATTTGTTCTTAACCTTAAGTGTAAAAATCACAGTTTGTGATATAGCTTTTTAGAAGCAACTTAAACACTTGTTTAGTTTACATTAATTTGTAAAAGGTTCCTTAAGAAGACCAAGTTGTGGTCAGTAGTTCTTGAGAAGACTAAGGCAGTTGTTCTTAGTGTTTGACACTGTAATCTGTTTGAATATAGTGGATTAAGTCCTTGTGGAGAAAGGCAAATCACTCTTGATAGGGTGGACTGGATTAGTTGAGTTCAACGAACCAGGATAAAAATCATTGTGTGTTTCTCACCTTCAGTTGGCATCAGAGCTCTGGTTCTATTAGTGCTATCACTTCACCGTGAACAGAAAAGATCCAGTTGAGAAAACTCTTGATTATTTTGGTTGATACATTATGGCTGAAGCTTCAACATCCAACAACAACAGATATGAGGACAGAGATAGAATCAACACTAAGCCCCTTATGTTTGATGGGGAGAAATTTGACTACTGGAAAGACAGGATTGAAAGTTTCTTTCTAGGATATGATGCTGACCTTTGGGATTTAGTCATTGATGGCTATGTTCACCCCACTGATGGGGATGGAAAAAAGATAGATTGAAAATCTATGACTGAAGCTCAGAAGAAAGAATTCAGGAATCATCATAAAGCAACAACCATACTACTAAATTATATATCTCATACTGAGTATGAGAAGATTACTAACAGAGAAACAACATTTGGTATGTTTGAATCTTTGAAGATGACTCGTGAAGGGAATTCTCAAGTCAAGGAGACCAAGACTCTGGCGCTGATCCAGAAATATGAAGCCTTCAAAATGGAGGAATCAGAATCTGTAGAAGTTATGTTCTCTAGATTCCAAATTCTCACAGCTGGCTTGAAAGTTCTGGACAAGGGTTACTCTACTACAGATCATGTTAAAAAGATCATCATAAGTTTTCCAATCAGATGGAGACTAATGGTCACTGCTCTGAAGCTAGCAAAGGATCTGAACAAGATCACGCTGGAGGAACTAATCAGCTCTCTAAGGAGTCATGAGATTGAACTAGAAGAAGACGAACCCCAGAAAAAAGGTAAGTCTATTGCTTTAAAGTCTAACAAATCTGCCAAAGCTTTGCAGGTTTTAGAAGAAAGTTCTGAAGAAGAA